TATGGCCTGTGATGTAGTTTGTTTTGACCTCTAGCTTCATGTTTATTGCCTGTTCAGGGTGGTGCTGGCCATCGACAGTTAGATGGGGCAGCATGCTCCGGGAACTGACAAAGAAAGCCAAGGCTCTTGCTGGCAGTGGTGGTTACAGCGCTCCTCCTGCTCCATCTAAAGAAGTGAGTAGTGTAACATCTTCCTGAGGGGTGTTTGATATGTTGATGTATGTATTCATTAGTGGTCCTGCGTGCAAGTCCTGGGAAGGATGACAGATACAACATTATTCATATGTAAGATATTTCTTGTCTGGTTTCTCAGACGGTGCAGCACATGTGCACATGCATGCATAGGGGCACATAGCATATATATGTGTGTGTGTGCGTGCGTGCGTGCGTGCGTGGTGCGTGTGTGTGTGCGTGTGTGCGTGCGTGCGTGCGTGCATGCGGTTGTGGCTACAGATTTCATTTGTTTTCTTAAAACGTGGATTCGTGTATCACAACACAATATCAGGAGTGAATAATAATAGATAATGTATTATTATTCACTCCTGACTTGTAATATGAACAAATCTAGATAAGAGAACACGTAACTGTTAATTTATGCTTTGTAGGATTTAAACACAAGGATAAAGAAGTTGGTCAACTCGGCACCATGCATGGTATTCATGAAAGGAACACCAGATGAAGCGAGATGTGGTGTGTAGCACTCAAACTTCACATATATACTGAATGAAATCTGATTAAATCCAGTTAAAAAAAATATTTAAATCGTTTTAGTTAACTGTAATATATGCAATCTATTGGTGATCTTTTGCATGTGCATTTATGTTTGGCAGGTTTTAGCAAACAGACAGTGGCCCTCCTTAATGAACTCAATGCCAACTATAGTTCCTTCAACATCCTTGCAGATGAGGAAATTAGACAAGGTAAGGTTGAGTACTAGTTGATCCAATATGGCAAACTAATAATTAGTACTTGTGTCTAAAGTAAGGCTAACGTGTCTTAGAACACTCGTACATTGTTATTTTCACAAAAATGTACAATGATTGAAATATGTTTGTTTATATTGTGTTGATGCAGTTACATGAGGATGCCACTTGTTTCTCGTGAGACCCGTTCCCTATACTTTTACATGGTAACTTGAATTAAGCAATAGAGCTGTTGTACCAGTCTGTAACCACTACACCACTCAATGAGATGCACTTTTGTCTGGTGGTTGCCGATATCAAGGGAATTGTCACTATGTGAATAAAGTATGCCTGCATTACTTGCTATTTTCAGCACAAACCCAGAGTAATTTTTATACTGGAGTAATTGCTAACATGTTTGTTATTAGGTGAGGCTATATTTCGCTATATTTTTGTCAACTGTGGAGTTATTTATGAAATAACACCTTTTATGTAGCCAGTTCAACACATTGCATCCAATTATAATAATAGGGATAAAGACATACTCAAATTGGCCGACTTATCCGCAATTGTACATCAATGGGGAACTTGTTGGAGGTTTGGACATACTCAAAGAAATGGCCACAAGTGGTGAATTAGATGCTATGCTTCCAAAGAAACAAGACACCAATGCACGGTAGTTGTGACTAAATATGAAATCCGTTAATCTATGTAGCTATATAATAGATATAGACATGTAACTTCATAAAAAATTGTGACGTGCACACACTAGATGACTAAGTACATGCTCTTCATTTGTATTTTGTCTTCCATTTTTAGTAGGAAATTGGCATTTAATACAGTTAAATGCTTATGTGGGTGTTATAACATGTGTGTTACAGTTTATGGAACTGTGCTATAATATATATGCGTGTAGTGTTTATAGTGTGGAGAATAACAGATGCAATTGCTCTTCCTTACAGACTGAAAACGTTAATAAATCAGGCACCGTGCATGGTTTTCATGAAGGGTGATACGGAGTCACCCCGCTGTGGTTTTAGCAAGACGCTTGTTGCCATTCTTAACGACACAGGGTGAGTAAATGTACCATATCTATGCAGCAAATACACTCGTCACAGTTCCAAATGCACACAGATGGCGTCTTCCCTATCCTTTTGATTGGTGCAATGCGGTAATCACAAAAGTAATGTGGTGATAACAGTGAGATATTCGAATGAATGAATTGATTTCATATTACTGAATTACTACAGAACAAAGTTCCAGGGTTATAGGTTAATCTGTCTTTGTAACTGTATATTGTTTTTAAAACGTAATAATTTGCATTTCAGAGTTCCTTACTCAACATTCGATATTTTAAATGACGATGATGTGAGACAGGGTCTGAAGACGTATAGCAACTGGCCCACCTATCCTCAGGTTTATGTAAATGGTGAACTCGTTGGTGGAATAGATATTATTAAGGTACAGTAACTATGCATGCATCTGTAAGAAAATTTATAATTTTAATTGTTATTTATTAGAATTATTATATTTAGTATTAAATGGTACTGTATTCTAAAAGGTCAAAACTGCGGTCATTATCTCTACAAGAATTGCCAGTTCATAAGAATCAGTGGGATTAACTTGATACAGGCTATATTAACTTTATAATATATCTAGTCACTGCACACCTGACTAATCTAATCTGTCTATTTTGAAGGAGTTGAAAGAAAGTGATGATCTGGAGACTACCCTGAAAGGAACTCAATAAGTGGCCATACCTCTTTCTATAAATTGTCCAATCAATTTATACTAGTGTGTCTACTTTTGTATTTCTTGGTCAAAAAGCCTTTAAATTTTTGCTATTAGCATCTGTGCAAATGATATGTTACGACTGCTATCGAGTTAACAGTCCGAAGACATTTTCAAAATGATAAGATGATTAAAATGATGAGTTGACAATTGCAATAGTAGTATAGTAAACACCAGAACCCAAGACTCCGTTACTGACAATAATATAAGGAATGTTTTTCGTCTGATATGAAAGCAAACTTTTTGTGGCTGTAGTCAGTTCTATAATCTGATGGTATAAAGTAACAGTCAAATACTGAATTTCTTAATATCCAAGGTCACATTCATAGGTTGTGGTGTCAGATGCTGAATGTTGTTCATGACTAATTTCACATGAGTAGTATTATATAGCCACATATCAGTTGCCTTCCTTAATGTAGGGTAACTTGAACAGTAACATCTCACGAACACACAATTCTACGTTCAGTTTTATTGAATTTGCAGTATTTAAGGTGCTAGTCTATTGGATTTAACTGTAAAACTTCGTCACGATCAGTAGATATTCTGAAGATTGTATGCTCGCATACATATGTACAGTTATGATAATTAAGTATGTCACAGGTCTGTGACTCGCCATTATTGTGCATATATGTCAGCAGAATTGCCACTGCATTGTGCCATGACATCCTTGAGTTGCATAAGATTCTGCTTGAAAAATAAAGCGAGTTTAAAAAATAGCACCATGTCAAATAGGTTATAGTGCTTTGAAGTGTACTTTGGATAGAGAAGCGACATTGGCAGCTTGTTCTATGGGCACCAAGTAACTTTTACCTACATAGTGACATTTCTTTGTGTCTATTTCGTTCGTTATCAATCTTGCAATGTAGACTTTATTTTATTGTCATGGGAATGTTTAACATGTAACACTAAATAATATGCAATATAATTTCTCATCTAATGCTAATAGATATACTTAGCTGCAATTATACCAGTATACAGTAACTTCCTCACGGCGCACGGTCACGCTAAAAATACTTTGTGGGAATACGATTTCACAGGTTTTAAAGCTTTATTATGAAAATCAACAAAGACAAGCTAACCACGGCTGCCTGACCCTATAACCCATATACCATTGCAATGCATAACATGTGCATCATGACGTTCAAGCTAGGTTCACGTGTATGTAGTTACATCATGCTCACGAAAATTGCAAATCAGTAGTGTTCAGACAACAGGTAAATAAATGTGTAACACCGTACACTTCAACAAATTTAGGGTTTATTTCCCTAAAGACAAGTAGGTTTAGAGACCTGACCCTCTCATGTCATCATGATCATGTATCCACCGGGTTTTATTTGGTGCTGTCATCAAGAATAAAATGTAAATTTTCCATGTGTTTGATTCCTCAGAGTTATCGACCCTTCACTTTAACATTTCGTCGTGATAGTTTGCAGAAAATCAAAAAGTTAATAAATATTTGTTGTAGGGTCAGATTTGCATCATTTAAAAATTTATATATATAATTATATTTAAGGACATTTTCCCCGTCTGTGCGACTAAATAGCAGCCACCTATGTAACGTAGAAATCGCGATACGAAACCCTGCCAGCACAACAGCTGTCCTGTCTATATTGAGCCCAGTGAAAGGAAGAGGACATGGACACCATAATATTTGTTAAGTGAAAGAAAGAGCACAAAAATGCGTAATGCTAGCCAAGAGAAAAGAAGAGTACAAGGATACCATAGCACTAGCCAAATGAAAGGAAGAGTACAAGGATACCATAGCACTAGCCAAGTGAAAGAAAAGAGGACATGGACACCATAATATTTGTTAAGTGAAAGGAAGAGCACAAAAATGCGTAATGCTAGCCAAGAGAAAAGAAGAGTACAAGGATACCATAGCACTGGCCAATTGAAAGGAAGAGTACAAAGATATCGCTGCTCTAGACTTGCAAGCAGACCAAGGCTTCAGTCAAATGTACTGCATCCCATGATGCGCGTAAACGCGCCTAGTGTTCGTGGTATGTGGGGCACTAATAGGAAAGGGAAGGCAGTGAGAGCTAATACAAGCAACATGACTGGGTGATATTGGGTATTTGGGGCACTCATAGGAAAGAGAAGGCCGGAAAGAGAAGGCCGTGAGAGCTAAGCAACGTGACTGGGTGATATTGGATGCAACACAATGTCTTATTGAGTATGAGTTGCAATTTTCACTCGTAACGAGAGGAATGCCTGGCAGACTGACAGCCAATCACCAAACCACTCCTAAAGGATTTCCTGTTTGCTATAATCGACCAATCAAAACTATTAAAAAAATATTTTGATTGTTTATTTATATAATGAGTAAGATAACAGTATTTTATCATCAAACTCCTGATTCTACCTACAGATGATACATGAATATATTATAAGGAGTGTCATAATATCAGGAGTAGATAATAGGGAATACTATCTACTCCTGATAATATAGATCTATATAATGTAATATGATCTCTAGATATTATACACCCCTGATATACACACCTAGGTACCATGTAGCATGTACACAGCAGGTGATCTAGCAAATTTGTACTAGCATTACTAAGCCATTAGACGACGGCTTTAATGCTCAGACGGCTGGCTACAGAGAAGAAATCGTTTGAGAGTGGTCTCACCAACCTGAACTGTTCTGCTGTACACATAACTCACTATTCTCCTCCACGTGCTATTACGTTAACGTGCCTTCGTAAGAAGAGTGGCTCATGGAAAGAGAGCAAGGCTATTTGGGGACCTAGGATCACACAAGGTCCGTTAGATGCCCACCCACTTCCCACTGCGCAGCATACACTGTTCTCATAAAATGAGGGCAACAGATTTGTTGACGTTATATGAAAACAAGTGTAATTTGGCAAAGCATTTTTGCTGCGCATAACGCGCAGCCGTTCCTTTTATGAACTGCTGACGGTGTATGCTACTGCACTTTACACAAAGCACAAATTAAGTAACATAGCAAAAACTCCGTACAGAACCCAACCACATACTACCTCGTCCCGCAAAAAGAACCTGACCACTTACTTTGATCCAGCAGTTTAACAACAACATGCACTGCATGTATCTCTCGGACATGGGACAATACAAGGGATGATATGTGCAGTTCAGTTTTAGTTACCCTAGCCAGAAATCAAGTGGATACAAGCACGTCCCCTGGAAATGAAAGTAATTATTCATAGACACATATCATGCTCTAGATACCAGATTAATAAAAGAAATTAATGAAAAAAAAATCTGGACGACTTTTCAAGTTGCTCCACACCCGATTATCCAAAACAAATTTAACCTATCCACACTTAATAATTGCTCGGCAACCTAACAAGTGTATATGTAATAATAATAAATTGACTACCAAAAAGTCAAGCCATTTTTTCTACAAAATTTCTATTAAATAACTTAACAAACTTAACGCCAGGGGAATATTACACGATCATCGTTTGCACTGAACCAACAGCAGTAACAACGATGACAGCAAGGAATCACATGATCACATACAAGCAGTCCCCTCACTCAGTTTTTGAATTGGCTCACAGACCACACTCCAGCTTGTTACACTAACACTCCCGGTCGCCGGGGTCCCTTCACTCGGGCATTGTCTTCGAATCTGCGCGCAGACTCCGCTCCACCTTGTCAGAGTGGCGCCCCCTATCAGCGGGGCAGCCGTGCATGGCGATGAAGCCCTCGAGGTTTTTTGGCACGTGTCCCTCGTAGGCGATGCCGTGCTGATTGGCCGCGCGCGCCGCCATGCACTTCAGACTCAGCTGAATCTGCGTACGAATGATCACCTCGGCGACGCCAGTCACGGACGCCTGCATCGGCGTCTGTCCGTCGTCGTTGCACGGGTCGAGGTGCGCGCCGCTGTCCACCAGCAGCTCTATGATCGAGTGCAGCACGTTGAAGTCCGCCTGCAGCTCTGTAGCGGCGGGCCGGCGGTAGCCGACGATGACGTGCAGCGGCGTGTTTCGCGTCGCGTCGACGGCGTTAACGTCCGCTCCGCACGCGACGAGAAGCTTGGCGAGGGGAGCGTTCGGGAACGCGCACACGTCGTTCGTGTGGAAGTCGTCGACGGGGGTCCGCGGGTCGACGGCGAGGTGAAGCAGAGACGCGCCGTCGCGGCGCCGCGGGTCCGTGCGCACGATCGCGTACACGAGCCGGCACATCGTCGCGCGCTGCGCGTCCGCGTAGCCGCGCGCACCGCCGGCGTACACGATCACAAGGTAGAGGATCGTCAGCAGGTTGGCGTTGGCCTGCTCCGTCGCGGCCGTACGCTCGACGCCGTCGTCCGCTTCCGTCGCGCGCACGCGGTCCAGCCGCAGCTCGACGGACGCATGCTGCAGCACCTCGTGCAGGTGCGAGAACTCGACGGGTACCCCGACGTGACGCATCTGCGAGAAGACCTGCGCGAACCTCAGCAGGTCCTTCGTCACCGAGCGGCTCGCGTTCTGCCGCAGCCGCAGCGCGTGCAGCCAGAGCGCGACGCAGCGGTCGAAGCGCGCGCCGTCGGCGAACACCGCGCCGCGGAAGATGATCGGGTGCGGCACTTCGGGGTTGCCGGCGCCGAGGATGCGTTCGCGTATCGAGAGCGCTTCCATGTGCAGCGCGGCGTGGTCGTCGCGGATCGCCTCCAGGTCGTTGACGGTCGCGCACTCGACGCGACGCGCGTACGCGGGGACGCGCACCGCCGCGGGGTCCTTGCGCAGCACGGCGCGCGGGTCCGCGTAACGCTCCTTCATGCCGCGCATCAGGTACGTGAACGCCTTCTCGATGTCGTAGTGGTCCTTGTCGTTGGCGAACGACGCGCCGAGAAGTTCGTAAGCGTCGACGCAGCGCCGCCGCGTCGTCCGCGGCGACGAGATGAGATGCTCGACAACCTCCGCCTGGCAGCTCTCGGCCGCCGACAGCAGCGGGTCCACGTGGAAATCGTTGGGGAGCATGCGCGCGTTGTGAACGAGCAGCGACTTGACGATGTCGAGGTGGCCGCATTCGGCAGCAAAATGCAGCGCGGTGGCGCCACAGTGCGCGCGCTCGTCCGGCAGCGCGCCCGCCACGAGCAGGAAGTGCACGACGCCAAGGTGACCCTTGTAGGAGGCGATCATAAGGCACGTGTTGTTGTACTTGTTCGCGATGAGAAGGTCAGCTTTGTTCTGCACGAGATATTTTACGATGTCGAGGCGGCCGTCGAAACAAGCGGCGCGCAGCGGCGTCGAGTTTGTCGACGTCGGGTGGTTGACGTCAGCGCCGTGCTCGACGAGAACCTTCACGACGTTCATGTGACCTTCGGCGGCCGCGCACCACAGCGCGGTGGCTCCCTCTATCATGTAGCCATCAAACTTTACCGTACCTGTTGCGGCAAGCATCGAATTTAGTACATGAGTGTATTGAATACGCCGAATGAATAATTCTAAATGCAGAGATGGACAGTTTAGAAGTATGTGAATTCATGACATAGTGCATAACTCAGTCATAGTCATACCATAGCTAAACTAGGAAAAAGGATATAGCTTCCAAAAACTAATCTTGGTTGCTAAATTTGAATTCTCTAATTACCTACCTGTTTGCTCAATATTGGCACTGAATTTTGTCAGCAGCATCTTAACCATCTTGTCATTTCCATGACGCGCTGTAAATATTCAAATAAATAAAGTAAATAAATTTAAAATGAGATGTATTAATTTAATACTAGAGACAATATTGCCGATATCAAGAATAAATAGTGGAACGGCAAATCGATACAGCAGCACTTAGGTAAACGAGGTTAGTGACGCTCATAGGATAGAGGCCATGTCCCCCAGGGTACTGCCGGGCCGTACCTAGGCCTAGGGTACGTTCCGGCAGTACCCTGGGGGACATAGACCCCATGAGCGTTAGTGACCTACGTCTCGGCAGACGTTGAGGCGTACGTGTGAGTATAGTAACATTCGAGGTAAGCTGCGACTCCAGAGCTTGAGCTTACCTGCGACGATAATGGGCGTTGTTTTCTGGCCATCTTCGGAATATGGTGTTTCGAGCAGTTCTCCCACTTCTTCTGCAGTCTTGTTTTCCAAGATCGCGTACAAAGTTATCGCCATTCCATCTTTCGCTGCGTAGTAGATTGACTCCTGCAGACTAGTTGCTGTGCCTGTGCGGATCATCCTCCAGGTGATGCTCCCTCACCGAAATTCATATAACGAATGAGGAAGTGGGTCAGAATCTAGTTGCCATGTCTCTGCCAGTGGTTTATAGACGGCAATCTGTACAGTCTACAACACTTGCGTATGGGGCGAAAGAAAGCGTTCGCCCATCTATATGACATCAGAACATCACACACGATGGCAGGAATGGAAGAAGAAGATGTGCTGGATGATCCACATTTAAACGTATCAATAGTCTTTCCACCTGAAGTTCAGACAGCAATTGACCAGGTAGGCAAAGGTGTCTTAATCTTGATGATTTGAAATGATCGTATTAATTGTGACAGTGTGTACAGGTTAAGAGAATCCATTGTTTTGTTTTTGCCTATACAACTTCCACTGCACTGCCACTACCTCCAATCACACACACTGACATAGCTCTAGTACTATAGCCCGCGTACAGGCAACGCGTACTAGAGCTAACACTGACATAGTGACACACGTCACCAGCACTTGGAATGTTTCAATAATAAAATGATGTGGTAAATACACACGAAATGTATTTATTACCAAAGTATTATTTTTAATGTTTCTCTACTCTTTCACGTATTATTACTAATATTTATATTAACAATAACTTTTTGTAAATGCCGTTCAAATGCGCCTCTACAACACAGAACACTGCACCAACGGCAACGCCGCAGTGCGCAAACAACAAAAATTATGGAGATTTCATTATATAGAGTTATTTTATAATTATAGTCATAGAGTTTTGTTGTTTGTGCCTTTGGTAGTAGATACCAGGGGCCGGTTTCACGAAGCGTACTTAACTTAAGTATGATTAAATCACTAATCATACTTAACTTCCCGTAATTATGATTAGTTAATCATACTCAAAAATCTGTTTCACGAAGCGATTTAAGTACATATTTAACTAATCACATAATTAGCCGACTTCAACATGAATAGACTGGTACTCGCTCCCCTCTCGGCTTAGTTACTCGATGGGAATCGAGTAATCAAGGTGGGAGCGAGTACCAGTCTAAAACAAATTACACGGTATTCAATATGGCGGACCAATACGCCAAAATTATCTTCAAGTTCGGTACATGAAAAGGAATTAATTTGTAACTATAATGATTGAAGTAGTACAGCAAATCTTAGATAATTTAAATTTCCTTGGGAAAAAATTGAAGTAAAATTTCCAATTGGAAAATCTGCAGCGTACTTAATATACTAGTACTACCTACTTCTAAGTTCTAGTACTAGCAACTAATTATGATTAGTGGATTTAATCATGCTCCTGAGTAGAATTAAATATTGTGATTAACTTAATCATGATTAAAGTTAATTACGCTTCGTGAAACAGTCACTTTAATTTAAGTACGAGAAGTTAATCATGATTAGTGATTTAATCACGATTCAATACTTAAGTACGCTTCGTGAAACCGGCCCCAGGGTTCTCCAAGAGCACTTATAGCCTGGCGGCCCGCCAGGCTATCGTCGAGCCTCGCCATCCTAAAATGCACCCGCCACTCTAAATATTGTAGCCGCCATGCTAAATATCATAGCCCCCGGACCCCTCTAGCACGCAAACCGCTTTGGGCGATTTGCAACTAGGACCGTCAAGGCAGCACCCCCATGCTATAATGAAAAAGCTTGGAGAACCCTGGATACATTTTGTGTTTATTTACCATCATTTTATTATTGAGACGTTCTAAGTGCCTGTGATCTCGTTTCTAGGTGCTTCCAAGCAATGATCCTTTAGACCGACCAGATTTCAATGCAGTCGAATACATCAACTCGCTGTTTCCCACAGAACAATCACTAGCAAACATCGATGATGTTGTCAGTAAAATGAGATACAAGATAAGGTATGTAACCTAGGCTGCATGTCCAGTAAAGATCATGAAAAATGAATTCACGACATTGGTTATGTGGTACATAATGTACATATATGTGGACATAAAGTCTATGTAGTAAAATACATACAGTCTGTATTTCATAGCTCTTTCATCTCTCTGTATTTCTTGCTGTAATAGGCATTTAGACGATGAAATTAGGACAGTCGTTCGTGGGCAAACAAACGTGAGTGAAGATGGTCACAGGGCTCTGGAGGAGGCACAGAAAGCTATACAGGAACTGTTCACTAAGATCAAAGATATCAAGGATAAGGCTGAGAAGAGTGAACAAATGGTAGGTCCAAGACACATGCAGACACACACATACCCATTCAAATATAAACACACACTGCTGCACACCCACATATATGCACATGAAGCCAACAATACAAAGGTTACCACTAAAATCTTACGTGTGTCACTGTTGTACATGGTTCTAGGAGTTATTAATCTATGTGAATTGATATATGTGTAAATTAATCCTGTTTCTTTTCTTTGGCTCAGGTTAAGGAGATAACAAGAGATATTAAGCAGCTGGATCATGCCAAGCGCCATCTAACATGCTCTATCACAACTCTGAATCACCTGCACATGTTAGTCGGTGGTGTGAGCTCACTAGAGTAAGTTATATGCTTTCAGGCCATGCCCCATAGCATAGTACAAGCTGCAGCTAAGAACGTTAAATTTCGTTCGTACTATAAAAAACGAGATAAATTTTATGGGCAACATGTATCTTTTTTGTGATCTTTTTTAGCTCATCTGACATAGTCAGATGCAGCTTGTAGAATCGCATGATCGTCCGTCCATCCGTCCGAGCGTCCGAGCGTCCGTCCGTCAACAGTTAGGCACAAATCTTAACCGCTCGACGTACGGTCACGATATTCGGGACGTGGGGGGGGGGGATTCGCTGGCCGCTGCTGGGAAACCCGAGTTAACATAGTATATACATGGGCTGCCGGAGTGCCACCCGAATTAACATATATAGTATAAACATTTATGTGAAGTTATATAAAAACGTTACCGCTTTGCTAGCTCCACGAAATAGTCTTGCTAGGGTTAGAAGACCATCAGACAATCAGTCTGATAGACAATTAGACATCTGTATAGACAATCAGTCGCACAGCGTCGTCCAGCAGCGCTACCGCCTCAAGAAAGAGAGAAATCGAGAGAGAGGGAGAGAGAGAGCGAGGGGAAGAGAGTGTGAGAGAGAGAGAGCGCGAGATAGAGGAAGAGAGGGAAAGAGAGAGATGAGGGGAAGAGAGTGAGAGAGAAAGCGCACGAGAGA